TATAAAGTTCTAGCCATTCGTTAATCCTGAACACTCAATGCGATTCTATCTTGCACCACTGTGCACCGCTTGAGCGAATATTCGTTTATTCTGATTACAAAAGGCGGGCATAGGAGGTAAGGCGGAGCGGGGGCCCAGGCACAAATTCCAGCTTTACTTCAACTTTAATGTTCGGTCACTGTCGCTGCTCCATTCTCAGTGTGTGCTCCGAGTTCGCACGATGACGACGACGACTCTGAATACGAATACGACAGCTCTAACTCTGAAAATATCCGCTCTTTTATTTTGTATACCCTTCCGAGGAGTCTATCCTATAAACTATTGATTATGCTTGCAACACAGATATTAGTATTAAGGACTTTTAGAATGCAGCAATGTAAGAGCACATTTTTACTTAGTAATTAATTCTCTTTCGAAAAGGATCTTTAAAAATTCGCTCTGAAAAGAAAAATTATTCTTATTTAAGCCTCGCTTACTTATCCAAAAAAAATTTAAAATATATAATGAATGCTAATAGATTTAGTTTAAGGGTCAACGCATGCACTGAAATAATTTCGGTATAAGGGTATATTTTATTGGATTCTTATTGATATCTGACTAACGACACTATAGGCATAAATTGTATACTAAGAAGAAACGCATTTTTTAAAAGTGCGAAACACCCCTCAAATGAATTTAAATAAAGAACTTTTAAATTAAGTTTGAAATGAGGTATACAGTACGTATCATTGAGCTATTTGAAATGATAGTTAAATCTTTCCAGATATATGTTGAAAATTTTAAGATAGATGTAAAGTATATGCATATATAGAAATTTCATATATGTGTATTTATATTTATACATATCTTATAATGTATTTATCATATAATATTTATACATACATACATATATATTTTTATATTTATATATAGCTTTATATTAATTACTGGAATATATATATTTATATTTATATATATATAATATATATATATATGGAGTAAGTAATTAATTTAAACAGGATGAAGGGTATATAGTATAAGCTTTCCTGGAAGCAGCTTGTGCCCTGTGTTGGTTGTTGGATAGTTGACTGGCTGCTTGGCGTGGCACTGGCACTGGTCGCAGTTGCAAGCATCGCCATCGTTGTTGCCTTCAACGTTTGCTGCTTATGCTGTCGTTGTTATTCTCGGTGCTGTTGTTGTTGTTGTTGCTACTTTTATTATACATTTTTGCTGGCGCTGGTGCTCGTTCGTTCGTTGCTGGTTTTTTTTTTTCATCGTTGTCGTCGTCTTCGTCGTCGACTTGCCTGACGTTATAGCAGCCAACGCCATCGCATGCTTCACCTTCGCCCCACCGCACACACATACACACACTCACACAGACACACACTCAAACAGTCACACACTTTGTGTGGCTGCTTTCCTCTCTCCCACTGGGCCCGCTCCCCACTCGCGCTGCCATTCTGACGCGCTGCTCCCCTCACGCTTTGCTGCTGCCATGAAGTTTCTTGTTTTCTTTCGACGGTGCTGCTGCCGTCGTCGACGCCGCCGCCGCCTCTTTGCTTGTCGTAATTTTACTTGATTTTTTTTTCATTTTTCTTTTTCTTTTTTGTTGTTGTTGGCGATGGTGCTGCTGCTGCTGTTGCTGCTGTTGTTGTTGTTGTGTGCTGCTTTCTGTGCGCTCGTTGGCTGTTGGCTCGTTCGTTGTTCGTTGGCGTTTTTCATTTGCGTTGCTGTTGGGTATTTTTTTGCTGCCGTTGCCATTGCTGCTGCTGCTGCTGCTGCTGCTGCTGTTGTAGCTGTTGTTGCTGCTGCTGCTGCTGCTGGCAGTGAGTTGGTTTCGAAATAAACTTTAATGCGAACATTCGTTTGGTTGAGTTTCAGTTTCTGTTTCTGTTGCTCTGTTAAATTTTGCAAAATGTGCGCAGTCAGCTTCAGATGCAGATGCAGGCACAAGTTTCTTTGATTTTTAATGCAATTTTCAGTTGTATTTCTAAGAGTTCTATTGGTGGCTAAACATTGACATGGAAAGGGGTTCTTTAAATAAAGCTTTTGAATTAAGCTGTTCTGCAATGTTGTTGGTCTGCCAAGGCGAGAAAGTACGGCTTTAGTTTAAATGGGCTCCTCTAGCTAATGTTACCAAATTGCTGTAACAGCTGCGCGCGTTTTTCAAAAACCTTCGCGCAGGCGAAGGCGAAGCAATCGAAGCAGCCAACCAACCAGCGAACCAAGCCGCAGCAGCAACAACATTCAAGCTGCCAGTTGCCAGTTGCCAGTTGGCGGAATGTTGCTGCTGCTGCTGCTGTACATTAAGCTTAAGCTGCGTTGAGCTGAGTTTCACTATAAAATGAATATGAGTTTTCGTTGTTGTTGCTTTTGCTATTGCTGTTGGTTTGGCACGCAAACGCACAAACGAACCAACAGACGAAACGAAACGCTACGAAACGAACGAACGGACGTCCTCGAGAAGCCCAGCCAGCAGCAACCACTTCAGCAACAGCAACAGCAACCGGCAACCAGCAACCAGCCAGCTCCCTCTTCGAGCGCCGTGCCTCGCCGTTTGCTCTACAAACTGAAAATATACAAAAAGCAACAACAACAACAGCAAAAGCAACGTCGACATTTGGGACGTTCGTTCGTTAGTATCGCAACAACGAACAGCCGGAGCCACAGCCATAGCCATAGCCATAGCCATAGCCTCATGCACAGCAGATACAGATACGAAACCCACACAGATACAAATATACAGACACGTATACGAACACACATACAAATGCCCAGCTACACGCGCGCGCTGGAAACAACGCCATCAAACGACGGCAGTGGCAAGGCAAGGCATGGTGAGGCCGGGTAAGGCGGGGCGAAGCGAGGGGAATCGAAGCGACAGAGCGACCGAGCGACCGACCGACCGACCGACCGACGACGACAGCACTAAAAAACGACAGCATGAATAATGCCATAGATTGGGGCTACACTGAGGATAGCTATGCGCTACATAATATAGGAGAAATGGGAAAAACATTATATAATGAAAATAGCACTGTTCTAGAAACTAAATATTAATAGCATGATAGTCAATATAATCATTCAGTTAATCACAGAAACTAATTCAATGGACAGAATATCCCATATTTAGAAAAAAAATAAAAAGTTGTCCTCAACTTTATTGCAAGTAGACAATGAGATGTTTTAGTCTAAAGTTAAAATGAGAACATTTTATAAGATCTTTTTGAGATATATATAGATTTAAGGACTTAAGGCTGTTAATTTGAGATTTCCAATACGTATCTTTGTATGTATTTATTTTTTAAAGATAACTTGGACGACTTTCAAAGTAAAATTCAAAAAGAGTCTAAAATTGAAGCCCTTCCAAGTTTTACATCCGTTGTAGTCGGCCATATTGTCTTTAACTGGCGTAGCACCCTACGAAATGCCTCTTGTGACTCACTATTGGAATAACTTCAAGACTCCGACTGGGCTGGGGCTAGGGCTGGCCATATTCTTTGAGCACCAGCTCGGCACCGACTGCGACTCCGACAACGACAACGACAACAACTACTTCGACTTCGACTTCTCCGTTGTCGGTTGGCTGTCGTCATCGCCTGAATTTGAATGCAAAGTCGTAGAGTTGTGGAGAGATTGTTGTTGTGTTTGTTGCTGTTGCTGTTGTTGTTGTTGTTGGTTTGGTTGTTTTGGTCGTTGTTATTGCTCTTGCGCCTCTGAGCTGGCTGAGGCTGCTGTTGCAGTACAGCAAGAGGAACGAAAATATATTCAACGAGCGATTTTATTCTTCCGTTTTGAATCAGGTTCACCGCAGCTGGACGCACCGCACCGCCTCCCTCTGCGGAGTGGAAATCAATGCCGACATCTTGTGCGCCTTGACAGCTTATCAACTGTGCCAAAAACAAAATGGAGCTGCCCAATGGTGGCTCGTAAATGAGGCTTCGGCTATACCCGAACACAATCGGCGATCGTACATCCTGTTCCGACTTACGTTCGTTTTAGTGAATGCCCTACTTAATTGAAAGTTGAGGTAAGCCCTGAGTACTTGCTTTTTATTTCTCAAATTTGTACTTTAACTTTCCATAACTTTAAGTTGCTTTTTAATTAGGTCAAATTTAATATATCCACCACTGTTTCTGTGTACCTATAACCGCATCACATTGGCTAATTATTAAATGACGAATATTCTATGCAAAATAAATAACTAACTCTGATATGTGCAAAAGGCATTTATTAAAACATAATAGGGAATAGGCGCAATTTAACTTTGACAGTTTATATAGCATATATAATGTTATGGCTTTTAAAACAGATCTGTATGAATTTTATTTGGAGACAGTGAAATTAAAATTTAATCAAGTTGTTACAAAACAAAATATGCATAAGCGCCCCTAGCGTCTGTTAATTGCACTTGGTTCAAATTCAGTGACAACCTGCTTTAGCTACTCAAAATAAACAGTTTCGAACAACAACCAATAGAGCGCGCCCCAGTCACTCAAAAATTCTAGAGCAGTTAGCTCTTTCTGCCAACATTTTGTAGTTCTAAAAGTATCCGATAGAGCATATGTGGCCTTGTGTTAGAGTTTTTTAGCATTGGAATTCCCCACTCCCATTCTAAGCTGGCTAATGAGACAATTGTTTAGTTACCTAGGCTTACACCGCTGGCAAAAATAAGGAGGAACGTATTTCAACTGCTGTAATACGATACTTTAGTACATTATTGTTGATGATGGTTACTTCGTATGAAGGCGACAACGGCGTTTGTGCTCTTGCTGGTATACCAACCCTATAATAGCTACATAGCTTAGCAGGCATCTGTTGATAAGCGAAGTAAAAAGTCGGCTTTATTTGTGCGTATGCTTAGCAATTGGCGTTTGTTCTTAAACAATTTAATTTTTTAAATAAGTGCTCACTTAACGGAAATGGGTAGAACGAGTTAATAATTTATCGATTAATCGATTAGCTTTCGAAATTCACAACAGAGTGCGCCACAAGCATACGCCAATCAGGTTAAGTTGGCTGCGTTAGTCGTAAACAGCTGCTTAAGCAAATTAAAATCGCGTTGCCGCTTTACAAAACACGCCGAGAACATGATGCAACATAGTAAACGGATTGTAAGTTTCACGTTTTTACAGCGACTAAGAAAACATATATAATAGTAACTTTTGCTGCATTTGTAGATTAAGCCGGTCTTAAATGGACTTTGGAATTTGCCGGCACGAGGTGCAACAAGCACGACGGCCGCGGCACCCGCCAAAATTGAAAAAAGTGAGTAGTTACTTGTATATACATATTTATGTGCAGAAACCAAATAAACATGTTTCAATTATCAATTTAAAACACAGCTGTCAATACCGTGACCATACTGGGACGAGTGGGAGCCGATCCGCAGCTGCGCGGCTCGCAGGAGCATCCGGTGGTCACATTCTCCGTGGCAACGCACACCAACTACAAGTGAGTTGAAATTACCAAACGATTGCTAAAGATCCATTTTATATTAGTTAATCTTTCAGATATGAGAACGGCGACTGGGCGCAACGCACCGACTGGCACCGAGTGGTTGTCTTCAAGCCCAATCTACGCGACACGGTGCTGGAGTACCTGAAGAAGGGGCAACGCACCATGGTCCAGGGAAAGATTACCTATGGCGAGATCACCGATCAGCAGGGCAATCAAAAGACAAGCACCAGCATTATAGCGGATGATGTGCTCTTCTTCCGCGACTCCAACTAACAACAAGCCAAACATTAGCCTAATCTTAAGAATATTCAGAACACAGTTGAACATGCATTGCATTTAAATACCTACATACATATGTATCATATTCATTATGTTAAAAGTTATTTTTTCAAATACATTAAAATTATGCTGTAATCAGGCGGTCTATGCTGTCAGTTCATGCGTATATCATTGATAATATTTGCCATTTTGCAGGTGCACTTGGTGCTCAGGCTGCTGATCTTTAGTTTGTTGGCCATTTGATCATAGCTTTTGGCCACATTGTCACTCAAGGATTGCAGACTATTCAACTTTTTCTCCAGTAAATTGAGCGTCTTTAAATGATAGTCCATGATCTTGGTGATCTATGGGAATACATTAAATGTGATTTGGTAGGTAGGCTCGCTTTGCCAATTCTCACCACTTTAGGAGAGTCTAAGCACTTCAGGGCCTCATTATTATATTGGTCGAGCTCTGCCCTTAGGTTGTTACATTGTGCTGCCGAGCAATCCGCCGATAAAAGTAGTTTTAAGAAAACCAGGTAGCTTCTAGGCATTAGACGAATTGGATCTGGGCCCTTGGGAAAATCTATGGAAGATGCCTCGTACCGTGAAATGTATTTTTCCACATTGAGTAAATCAGCTTCGTATTCCTGCAATTCCAGCTCCGTTTGAAAGAGACATTCCTTCATCGCTTCTATAAACTGATCGACGGAAATGAGCTGCAGACAGTTATAAGGCTGGCTATATCTTCGTGAAGGACTAAAGTTTGGTCTCTTACTTGTTTTGCATTCTCCAAACAGTTTCGTTCCTGTTGACGAATAAAGTTCATTTTTATATCGAACTCTTTTCCGATTTCCTTGGCGTCTTCTAGTAACAGATTTGATAACATGTCCAAGTATAAAAAGGACATTGGGTCCGATATCGATGGTTCATGCATTGCAAATAAAAAAGTTGAAAAAGTTAAATCTTAAATTTAAAAGACAGTATAATTTAGTACAAAATTCTTATACAACACATATGTATGTATGTCGAACAATAAGAGAATTGCTTTTTTGGTTTAGAGCTTAAAAACATATTACAAATAGGCTACTGAGCCAACAATAGAACAATAGAATGCTCAAAGTATATAGCTTACACAAGTTTACATGTAGACGAACGTGTGTTTTTACTAGTTCTAATAAAAGGATGATACCTGTTCACAGATTAAGCTGTTTTTCTTGACATTTATTTTATCTATTTAACTTTTCGCTTGCCGAAAGAGTTTGAGGATGGTTGATCAAAAGGCTTTTGCAGATCAGTAGCAACCAGTAACCAGTTGCGGGAAGGTGTAATAACCGTATAAGAAGTAAATCCGAAAGTCAATTACATGCGCCATTTACCTTATGAAAGTCAAAAACGTATTATATTACTTGGGTACAAGATGGTTTGCATATTGATCTTACTTGTGTTTCCCACACTGTAGACAACCTAATCTGACGAGCCATAAGCTCCGTATATAAACACACATGTGATGCCGATTTATAGGTATACTCTCTATTGATTCCTAAGCTTATCGATCAAGAATTATGTCAGCGAACTAAGGCAATAGCAACAACAATAGAAACAACAAAATTCAGCAAATACTCAAACACCGCGATCCGATCCACTCTCAATTGCCAAGCTCTTCCACATGTGAGCGGGAGCGGTACGTTATCGCTGTTTGTGCGAGAGTCTGTTTGTTTTCATATTACAGTTTGTGAGTGTTATTCAGTCACGACTCGAAACATTTCGCGTACTCAAAGCCCATTCAGTTCGCATTCAGCTTTTTGCCCGTTCGGCGGCGCTTGCCAATCTCCAGCGCAAATTGAACTGCTTGGAGTTTCAATCCGATCCTCAATTTGGCTGCCCCAGTGCCACTGATAATCGGAAACACAACTTTTGTTACATCAATTGTATAACACCGAGCAGAAGTGTACGGAAAATGCAAATTCTTATCACTTGAAAAGGTTACTTAATAAAATAAAGGTATTTTCACCTGGAATCAACTTGTTTTTTAAGCGCCGCGCACAGCATTTAAGTAAATATGGCTGTGGATTATGTGTTGGAGGACCTTATGGGCAAATTGGGTGAGTGTTAATGTGTGCACTGCAGCAGGTCAAATACTTATTGACCGTTACCAAGCGTGCCTGCTGTTATCAGCGGCTCTTATCAGACATGCTTGCGCTTATCTCGCGGCCGGCAGATGCGGTATTTCCGTTTATCCAGGCAAGAACTGCACTTACTGAACGTTAGATTCAGTTATCCGACTGTCAGTTTTAATTATCATCTGCTCTAGATACTGTTATCATTTTAATTTATATGAAGGGCCTGTCCCAGTGGCCCATACATAACATAGTATAGTATAATCTTTTGCTTTCTTAATCTCCGTCGCCGGTCCGTTAAGTTTTGCCGCCAAAGTGTTCAAAAGCGCCGTGCTAACTAATACAATTTTAATTGGCTTTTTTTTTTTTAATTTAATAAATCTCAAGGTTGACGGACGTGTATGACGGACTGACAGAGGTTGCTCGTTACAATTGGCAACGGGCACTCACACATGCGAATCGCGAGCTTCAATCTAGTTCGCCGATCGCTTGACATTCGCTAAGCCGTCAGGCCAAGTTACGAATTACATTTAGAAAAAGTATCTTTCGAAACGTACTCAATGCGAAACACAAACCGCAGCAGCATCACGCGGTTGCAGATGAGCTGCTTGTAAGACTTTAGGATGCGATTGCGGTGTATTCAGTTAATTCACACGTTTATAATTAAATGCGAGCAGCCGTAAGGCTATTAAAGATTTCTTTGTATGCTAAGTTTATCTATTGTAAACCTATGCAAATGCAAAACAAATAGTTATTCAACTGTGCTGCTTTTTTATAAATGCCCAGCCCCGCGCTCTAAATTACTTAATAGTTCTGCCTGATTGGTAATACAGCTCATTTGTGGAACTGCTTGGTTTTCTATTCCTTACTTAGCAAGACCCTCAAGCCATAAATATTATCTATTATGCAGCTGTCAAGTTCAGATTTCAATCAGTTTTATTCGTTTATTGCTGAACTTATTGGGTAATTTGACAGCACAATTGCAAGCATATGGCATATGGTAAACTGCATTTGTGCAAGCTTTTCAAATCACAATTTCTGAATTTGTAGGTATAAAAGGTTACACACGTTGATCGTAAACAACTTTTTAAAATTCACGCACGGCTTGAACCTCAACCGGTAAGAGATTATGGTCCGCATTTGCTTTTGCTTTTTCCGCGGAGTAACAACATTTAAAAGTATATGTTAATACATCTCTACTGTCTGTACATACGTATGCCAAGAAATTCGAAAGTCCGCAAACAGGTTTCGTCTCGATTTTATTTCTAATATTTGCATTTTATTTTCATTTCCATTTTTGCTGATGTGTGTTTATTTCTGAGCGGTTTCTGTATTCAAGGTGATGTCTTAATTATTCGCAAACCCCAAGTACTCGAATGTTTCGTGACTTCAGAAGTTTTTGTAGTTTGTCTTTTAACGCTGGCGTTAAAGACATGCCCCAAGACTGAATAAAAAAATTAAACAATTACCAAAAATTGATGACCTTATCTTGCGGTGACAATTAAATATATATATTTATATTAAGGGCATGCCGATAACAGCGCTTATCAAACTGGGGGCAAAGTTTTGTTTCGTTTTAAATAGGAAATGTATCCAAAATCGAATTCCTGCAATAACCAAAGGTTAAATAATAATCTATACCATTCAAATTTGCTATCTGCGGGGCACGCAGTTGCACTAATCTAATCAGATCTTAATCAATATTTTAGGAACTAAAATTTGATTTTATTGACATTTTACATGGAACGAAGTTTTCATTGTCCGATTCTATAAGAGCTATAAATATATGAAAGTTATATAAGTTTTGGCAAGATTATATAGTCCATCATGGCTTGCCTTGTTTTGTGACTGCTCAGAGGTTTTAATAAATTCTCAGCTTACCCCCGATTCTTTCTAAGGTGCTCAGGGAAAGTATTCTTATGCAATTTCTGATATATGTATATATGCTTCAGTATGGAGTCAGGATGTCGACAAAGTCGAGACTAAATTTGATCGAATTTAAATATATTAGTCTCTATGAATTAATAATGTAGATAGTGACCTAGAAACAAAAATCATTCTGCATTATTCAACTAGTTAGCCGTAATTTTACAATTATGAAATAATAACGAACTCTTAAACATGTGTATGAAAAACTAAAAATCCATCACCAAACAATAACCACACACATCCGCCCACCGCAGTCATAACAGCAAAATTTGATCCACACGATTCTTTTGTGCAACATTTGGCTTTGTTCATTTTGTGGCTTACGGTTTTGCAATAAGCAAGCTAGTGTGTAATTAAAAACTATTTAATGCACATAGATTGCAAATATAAATTATAAGCCAATGCCAAACTAGCCGCAATGTTCCAAATGGCCCTCTATGTGCACTTGGGAAACTAAAAACCAATATGAATATTTGGTTTATAATTTTAGCGAGTCGAATCCTCTTCAAATAAAATGTAGGCGTTGAATTGACAAAAGAAAATACTACGCAAAAGCGAAAGAGGATTGAATGTCAAAAAGCAGATATGAGTCGTAATTATGCGCCAAATTATATGTTTTAATTAATACATGACATGTTAATCTGACTGACTTATAGCCAAATAATTGGTCAGAATATCAAATATTTTATACAGTGGTAGGTTGACTTGTAAGTAGCTTGAATCATAACACACTCAGAGATGCCAACATAGATCCAGCATATGTACGTTTGGGAACGTTTCGACAATCATGATTGATGAGTTTTGTATTTGCCTAGTATTTACTTCGATTAACGCTTTAACGTTTTAATTAACCTCTTTTATCTATTTAACGGATGTTCTTGGAGCTGTAAAATATAACATATATTCAATATACTCGATTTATGGTGGCAGTGTATCGCAAATACACGTTTTATGCCATGTTTGATTACTAAAACAAACAATTCGTGCACGTTGTTGTGATCAAGGGCCATTTGGTACCAAACTGGGCCAATACTCTAGCATAATAAACCCCATAAACAAGCCATAAACTGGTGCAGTATATGTTTATTTTGGGGACTGATTTTCTGATAATCCGTCAGTATTTCTGATGCTTTTTGTATTCAATTTGATTATCGTCGCCTATCGATCGGTCGCCTGTTGTTCCGATTATGCATATAAGACGTAATTGGATTTAATTAAATATCGTCGGAATGTAGAATTGGTATTAATTAAAAACTACTGTTTCTGCGAGAGATCTGTGACATAATTTCACGCCTATTGTGTAATCAGCCAAGTAGTTTTTTAAATTCTTAGACGATGGTATCACGTGTGGGAATACTCTGTCGCTGTTTCGTCTAGCTGTCGATGTTTGCCGCTTCAACGAGCTCAAATAAATCAATATTGCTATAGTTCTAGTTTGTAAAGCAAATCAATTGTAATTGCCGATTGAACATTGGACCGTTCATGTGTCAAATATCTAGGCTATGTCCAAAGAAATTTACACAGTGCCTGCCCTCGAGCAGCCAGATCACAGCTCAGTCCATGCAAAAGTATAGCAGGCCCATGCATTTTGAGCTCCTCACGACGTCAATAGCTCATAGAAAACTAAAAGAGAATAAAAAACAGACAAAACCAAAACACAGTTGGCAAATAGTTTACCGCGCATTTGTATGCTTTTCAATTGAAATCGAATTGAATAAATTCCACTTGATTTAATTGCAACGTCTACGGAGTGACGACAATTCTGGCGGCACTGTTAAATGTGTTGAGTTCCGCCCATCAACGAGTATCTGATAACCCAATTTGGCAACTCAAAGAGCTCTGGTGCTTTTGGATAACTCGTTATGCCATACATGTGACATGTGAAAGTGGATAATGCAATAATTTTAATTCCAACAAGAGTGTACATATAAATACATATGTACATATAAATACATATATCGATATCAATATTTAATATTGATTTGGATAAGTTCGAACGATTATGGAAAATAAATACAAGTTCTGACAATTAACGTTCTGATGAATTTCATAGTAAATTGTGATTTTAACTAATTTAGGCTATATGCAACTATTTTCAAATGTTATTTTCAGCGGAATCCACAGATGGTTTATAAATATTGATTTACTGATTCAAGACAATCCTCGTTTTCAATTATAAATTAAGAGCTAATCCAAATACAAATTTTTCAAGTTTCGAAAATTTGCCTCATATTGGTATATAGCCATGCGTAAAAATCGAACTCCCCATTGACGAATTGAAAAGCAACTCTATAGAATCTTTTAAATATTTTCGATGATATTTAATTAAATTAGATAAATTGACTTTTATCTTTCAGGTGAATTTGGTAAATATCAATTTGCCCAATTCTTTCTGCAAGTGCTGTCTGCTCTCACGGCGGGTATGCACATGCTATCGCTGGTGACTGTTGCTGCTGTGCCCGAGCATCGCTGCTTCATTGCCGGAGTGGACAACAGCAGTCTCTCCCAGGTCTCAGAGACTTGGCACTCCCGCCCTATTATCGACGCTATTCCATTAACGGAAACCGGAGATCTGGAATCGTGCCTGATGTTCAATGCGAGCGCTGGGGACCACAGCCGGATACCCTGCGAGAAGTATGTGTATGATACGACATACTACAAGTCCTCCCGCACCATCGACTGGGACTTTGTCTGCGATCGTCGCTGGATGGGCGCCATAATTCAGACCGTGTTTATGTTGGGCACATTTACAGGAGCTGTGACATTGGGTGGCTTGGCCGATAAGATCGGTCGCAAGACCGTATTCTGCTGGTCGGCGCTGCTGCAGCTGTTTATTGGTGTGGGCGTGGCCTTTATACCGGAATACTTCTCGGTCATGGTAGCTCGTTTTCTGCTAGGAATTGTGGGCTCTGCTGGTGCCTACATCTGTGGCTTTGTGCTGACCATGGAACTGGTGGGTCCCAGCAAGCGCACAGTTTGCGGCATTACGTTTCAAGTGAGTACATTTTTTTTAAAGAAATCTTTGCTAAGATCATAGATAATGAATTTCATGGAATTCGCAGGCTGTATTTGCAGGCGGCATAATGCTTGTGGCCGGCTGGGGTGCGCTGATCAAAGATCGTCAACTGTTGCAGGTGGTGTATGGCCTCCACGGTTGCCTGTTTCTGGCCCACTGGTGGCTGTTGGATGAGTCACCACGCTGGCTTTGGATGCAGGGACGCGCTGCGGAGGCTGTGGATATTGTAGCCAAGGGACTGCGCATCAACGGCTCTGGCATACCTCTAGACAAGGACTACTTTGTGCAGAAGGCCAAGCAACAGGCTGCCGTTGAGGAGAAGTCTAGTGCCGGCCTCAGCGACCTTTTCCGCACGCCCAATTTACGGATGAAGACGCTGAATGTGTGCCTCTGCTGGTTTGCCAACTCGATTGTTTACTATGGCCTGTCCCTGAGCGCGGGCAAGCTGTATGGCAATCCCTATCTCATACTGTTTCTTATGGGTCTGGTGGAGTTTCCAAGCTATATCACCATTGTGTTTGTCTTAGATCGCCTGGGACGTCGCTCCATCACCTCTACTCTGATGCTCAGCGGCGGGCTCTGCTGCATTGTGGCCGCCTTTATAGCGCAGGGTACCACGCTTTCCACCAGCATTGTTATGTTGGGCAAATTGCTCATCGCTGGCTCCTTTGCTGTCATCTACAATTACTCGGCGGAGCTCTTTCCTACAGTGGTGCGCAATTCAGCCATGGGCTTGGGTTCTATGTGTGCCCGTCTTTCTGGCGCGCTAACACCCTTGATCACTCTGCTCGGGGATTCGTTTGATCCCAAAATTCCAGCTGTGCTTTTCGGTGTGGTTGCCCTTTTGTCGGGCTTCTGGGTTATGTTCCTGCCAGAGACAATGAACAAGCCCATGCCAGAGTCCATTGAGGATGGCGAGAACTTTGGCAAGGGCGACACCTGGTTCAGTCAATGTGCTGGTCGCAAACAGCGCCAGGACAGTACTTATCCCGACGATCCCGAACAAATGGTGCCGCTCAAGACCATTGAAAGCAAATAATAAATGACATTGTTTTTGTTTTTTTTTTGTTAAGCCTTCTCATAACGCACACACGCCACACACCCACAAAAACAGCAGCTGCTTTTGCAGTGTAATTTTAGTTAAGTTTTATCATGTTAATAAATTGAAAAATCGCCTTTAAAACGCTGCGGACCAAAGACTTCCTTCCAATCATATGATGCAATGAAGTCGCAATCTCTCACTCATGTTTAAGACTTGTGTTTTGAGCTATAAATTTAATGCAATTTCTTGGCTTTAAAGGGCTATGCCTGGTACCGGAGAAACTAATTTGATTGAGAACTGCAGACTCGGTAGGTGATCGGCCGCAATTTCTCTCACATAGTCTTATCCTATGCTAACAATAATAATAACAGTAAGTTAAAACAAACATCTACGGCAGCAAAACATTGTTCGGCTAATGCCTAAATCACTAGTATAAACATTTTCAGCTTAAAAGTATGCTGTACGTTATGCTAAAATCTATGTAGGTGTGAGTAGTTATGGGTTTAGTTGAATGTTTTTTTGCGGAATTAGGTCGCCGGTAAATAAATATTTCCCGCTAAAATAAATACGCAGGAAATGATAATGTGAACAACAATAACATTTAAGTTAATTTTTCTAAGAACTGCAAGAACTCTAAATACCATCCAAATGCGTAAGTTGACTTGCATACACCCTGAATCTCCCAAGCGTTCTAGCTTCCTTCTATAGATACATATTTCGCAGTCGTCTACGAGATGACGATGAAAGTTGGACTTATCCAGTATACAATTCGAAATTATGGCCTAAAAAAGCCTTGAATCCTTTCAAATAGATAAATAGCAATTAAGAGCATAGGGTGCTTTTTGTTTAAAATGGGTTTTTAATGATTTTTGATACAATTGAGAACATATTGAATTTAAATATATTTTTGTTTATTTACTCGTTTTTTAATTGTAGCTAATATGTATACATTTATACGTATTTCAATATCAGATTTAACTATCTGAGTTCTCTCTGGCTTACAATTAGATCAACATTTACATATACACAGATATAACCGAATAGATACAAATATTCATATCTGGCTTTGGATTTGGGTTTTCTTCTTTATCTTGAGTGCAAAGTTCTTGCAGCTACACGAAAACATATAGAGTTTTTCTTTTTAATTTTATGTGTTTTATGTTGTGTTTTTGCATGAAGGTACATTTAGATATTTTGTGGATAGCCACGAGTAACGAGTACATTGCTGACATCGATACAAATAGAAACGAACACCAAGAGAGATAGATGCAACGCGACTTCGTATGCAAACGACAAACACATCTAGAATTAATTGGAATTAACAGCTCCACTTGGCTCACATTAAGATAAGCTAATGTTTGGTAAATGCTCGACGGCTACTCACGAGGCAAATCAAATGGGAAAGGAAAACCGAGTCTTAAATCCGCTTCGAACGAGAGAGTACAAGTACTTAATATAAAACATAGCTACGTGTAAATTAATCACAATCGAATTTTTTTTTTTTAGAAATTATTTACAAAAAATACTCTCAGCCACCAGGCTGCCACACAGCTGTCTATTCATGCTGGCCGAGTGCCCATTCCCCATCTGTTTAAGCTATTCATTTCTGAGATCTCTCTTCTATATAGATGGTGCCTGGTTGGCCCTGGTGCTGGCTCTTCCACATGCCGCCAAACATTCCGTTTTAAGCTCCAAGTTGGGCGCTTATGCGCGCTCCGGACATTTGGTTTGTACAATTGGCGCCTTTGGTTGTAGTGCAGTGCCTACGCCCCCTCCCTCGGGCACCATGGCGGTGTGCACAATAATTGCCGGCTGATCCTCGCTCTGTGGATGTAGCTCGTGCGATTCACCGGGTGTTAGACTGGCCAAGGCCGCGAGCAGATCGTGATTGACAAGCGGCTCACCCTCTTCGCGCGGTTCCCAACCAGCTGGCGGCGAGGCGGGTGGAGAGATAAGGAACTGTTTCACCGGCGCCGGTGGCTGTAGATTCTTGTTGCTAACGGGTGTCACCGGCTGCGCAAAGTAACAGGTGATCACCGTCTTTTTGTTAAACTCGTACTGATGCAGCTTAATGCGTGCATTAGCTGCCGCAATGGCATTGTCATAGTTCACCCGGAGTCGGCGAAAGCTGCGCAGCCATTGGAAGGTGGCCGATTCGCTGAAGGTGCGGAACAGCTCTTCCATGGCATGCTTAAGATCAGGATCGGCAAACACCTCCGAATGTATGTTGGTCACAATGATAGATGTTGGCAAATCATCAAATGAATCAGCATCCACCTCTGGCTCTGTATCGGTATCCACATCGCCTTCCGGCGGCAACGTCGGATGCTGGCTGGGCAGACCGTCGGCGGCATTTATAAAAATGTCCTGATCAGGTGAGAGTTTGTCTATGCTGCCGCCTTCGCTGCTATTCTGGGTTGATTTCAATTTGCTGCTGTTGTTGTTGTTGTGATTGCTGCGCGGTTTCGTTGTCGTCGGTGTGATATCGCCGGCATCCTCATCGACGTTCGCCGAGCTGGTGGCATTGTTATTCGACTTGGCCGCGTCGGACATGGCTGGGCTACAAGAGAGACAAAGAGCGGGGAGTTAGTATTAGATACTTTATGTCGACTCCACGAAAGGATATTTATCAGCAAATCTCTTCGGTGTTTTTTAGATTTCAATTGGGTTTCTGTAATATTTAATTATACAAGCAGGACTTTCACAATTGTGGAATACCTTTAATGTGCGAGCAAATATTTTCGCGGCTTCTTTATTAATTCTCTACTTAAAAATACTTTTTAGATGTTGCGAAAGTACCCCTAAGGGAATAGTTACCTCTACAAAATTAACATATCTTCTAAAAAAAAAAAAAAAAACAGGTTCTTTAAATAATCGCGTTAACAAGCAAATTAGCTATGTTGCTTACAACCCACATTTAGGACGGCCCAAAAAACTCAGCGCAATTCATTGACGTAACAAAATTTCAAACGTAAATTGCGGCCCGAAATATTTACGAGCTCGGCAAAGCCGAAAAACTACAGACGTGTCTGCAAATATTGCGAGACGGTTTGTGAGTTTAGTTTAGAAAAGAGAAAAACAATGAGGAAGCCCGGGAAGAAGGGGTTTGGGGCACTAACTTAAGTATCGGCACGTGAAGGCAATCAATAGGAACCGCCGCACCAACGGCTGGATTGGCTGGCTCAGCTTTGGTGACGCACTGTTGATTCACCACTGCTCTTGATTTTATTGCTATGCTTGGCTATATATACTTTATAAATGTGCTATATACAAGATGGGTAAGGGGGCTTGTAGCCATTGGGTGGCGGTTGGGTGATTAATAGGATTGGCAAATTTTTGTGAATGAATGAAAATGAACAAGGCCGGCGCGACAACGATTTGGCGTCAGGACAATGACGTCGTAGTAATCGTCGTCGTTGACGCCTTTAAATTCGTCCTCGCTGCTGCCGTTGTTGTTGTTATTATTATTGTTGTTGTTGTCGTTGTCGTTGTTAACAGCAGCACCTGTGACTAAGTTCAATTTGCAGACACGAGGCCAAAAACTTTTAGCCAGTTTTATTATGATGATTACTATTTTGGGCCAAGCATACTTTTAGATTAGCGCTCAATTGTATGCTATAAAAACGCTTCCTTCCTTTCAGACAGAGGGCCAAGGTCTATTTATATAGCGCTCGCACTGGTGAGGAAATAGTTCAGCGAATTGGGTTGACTATATTTGGAATAATATATGTTTACGACATTTATAGTAGGTATATTAAAACTGTTAAATGACTGTCATTTTATATTCTTTCTATAACAATTTTTTATCATGCATTTTAGCTGAATTCCGCTTTAACAACTACTGTATTTGTTCTTTTAATTAGAACCCAAGTTGCGCAAAATCTACTGGCAAAAGTAAGCATTTAAATTATATTACAAATGTGAATCCTTTGTAAGAACACAAGAAAATATGTCCATTATGCTCTGTTCTCAATATCCGGTCAGTTCGTTAATGATTCCCGAACCTTCCAAGTCATACTCTTTAATGTGGTCAGCATTTATTAAGGACAATACACATAAGCATATTTTATAAATACCTTTTAGGTGGAATTTTACTGCCAGCAGTTTAGTAAGAGTTAGTATATATGTAGAGCTTTACAGAGCTCTTACAATTCCTATGAAAATATATATTGTTGGATATGTATATATAGTGGTGTACCGCTGATAATTCCTAAGAATCATGCGTTGATGTTTGTTTAGTTTTTGTTTGTAAATAAAACAATTTCTGCTTTAACACTCGAGAAAGACATGCGGCACATTTAAGACGCACTTCCCATAAACCTATTGAAAACTTTCATCGATTGACTACCAGCAATTCGAATCGGATAAATTTATTGAAAATGTGGTGAAGGTTAGCAATTTAGTGGTTTATTTTTCATTAAACTTAAATGCAATTACGAACGTGGGCGCTTGCCATCAATGGAGGTATTATACCAAATTGACATATTCCCTGACTGCGGCGAAAGGCAACTGTCAAACGCAGACTTTAAAATGTGCGACGCGGGTCTCAAGTACGCTTTGCTTGCGCCTGCGGGTGCTCAACGAACTAATACCCTTGCTACCGGACAGGGCACGGCGCGACCGCCCGTCGTGAAAAGCTCTCCGGTTGTTTTACCCTGTTTTTTGTTGTCACTTTCTGTTGGCCTAGCATTGCGCACAGATACAATGTACGAGAGCGATAAAAACAATGGCCAAATTCAACCAGGGGACCCAAATGACGACAACGACGCAGTAGACCTGAACGTGTCTACGAAAACGAGAAAGAGGACTATGTCGATGGCGCTGGCGACTAGAACGAGTTGATCTATTTCTGGATGATTGATTTCCTTAAAAAAACACACACAGACACACACTCACATATACATCTGCTACTCGTCCGGAAGTTAAGCTCTGTAGTCGCATGACGTACGCGTTTTGTTAAGACCTTTCAGAAGGCCTTTCACTGAATGGGTGCTAGCAATACTTTTCAACTTACTATAGTCTGGAGGTAGCGTAATGGGAGCAAAGCAAAAACTGCAAGTAAGCGAGAAAAATGATGGGAGGACTGCTTGGTAAACGACCGCCTTGCATGCAAATTGTGTGGCTACTGCATGACGTCATCA